CCCCAAAACCCCAAAACCCCAAAACCCCAAAACCCCAAAACCCCATTTTTATTATTTCATTTTGAATATAAATAAATAGTTCTTTGATAAGGCAAGATATTATGTCAGCTGGGAAAGAAATTATGAATGGCATTGCTAATGCTCCTGCTGGGAATAGTATGGACACGCTCAAGGCTATCAGTGGGCTTGTTGCTGGATCTATTCTGTTCTCCTACATTGTTTCTAAAGTATATAAAAATCCTCTCCAGAGTACATATGAGTGGATAATGGGTAAACCTAAGACAAAGAAAGTTAGGAGATCTCGTAAAGCGCGTGAAAATAGAAGAAGAGAGTCTGATAGGAAAAGACTAGAGGAATCATATGAGGATGAGGAATCTATCAACGACCGGGATGCTTACTATAATAAGAACGGCATGACTCAGATATCTGAGCATGTTTCTGGAGAGCAGGAAAGTTCTCTCTATGAAGACGTTCTTGTTCCTTCTCCTGATGATTGCACTTCTATTACCTATTCTGATAAGAGGAATAAAAAGATGTATTTTAACTCGAACGATGAGATAGTAGAGTCTGGCTATGAAGATGAGAGTGCATTAAATTTCTATGTCCAGCCCTCTAAGACTAACATAAAATCAAAATTGTACAAACAGAGGGAGACTGAAGCTTCTAAATTCGTCGATGCGATCGACCATGCCATCAACAGCTTCAAGAAGGACAGAGTGAAGAACTATGAAAATATTAATGAAGCTTTTAAGGCAAATAAATTAGAAGCTATCAAATCTAAAAAAAAGGAAATTGAGAGGCAAGATTCTAAAGAACCTCTCTCCTTAAACGAAAAGTTCAAAGCAGAGATGCAGCAACTCTCTCCTCGATCAAGAAAAGAAAAGCTCAAAAATCTCAATGAGAAGAGTGTGCGTCTTAACGATTCCGACTTTGGAAATATTGATGATAAGGATTCAGCATTGGCTTCTGAAAATGTCTTTAGAAACAAAGGCAAGGATAAAAAGTTTGTTCCCAATTCTAAAGAGCTTACAAGCAAGAAGGACTACATTTTCTTCGAACTCCTGTCTGTTTATACACAAAACTTTGTACAGAATAAAAAGCAGAAGAAGAGTAAGAAGAAAGGGATAGTCTCAGCCAAATAATTTGTTACCTTAAGAACAATTTGGAAGCTATTTTTCATGAATTAATTTACTTAAACAGACAATATTAGGGGAGTTTTAGGGGTTTTGGGGTTTTGGGGTTTTGGGGTTTTGGGG